GTTTTACATTTAATGATCAATTTTGAGGTAATTTTAAAGTATGGTGTAAGGTAGGGATCAAATTTCCCTGCTTCCTATATTTCAAATGAAGCTCCATTCTATTAGGTATTCATACATTTATCATTGTTATATCTTCCTGATGCATGGACACTTTTATCATTATGATGTATCCCTCTTCTAATGCTACTTGTCTTGAAGTCTGTTTTGTCTGGTATTAGTATGGCCACTCTAGCCTTCTTAGGGTTATTTTTACATGGCATATCTTTTTCCATCTTTTATTTCAAAGTTATTCGTATTTAAAGTGCATCTCTTTAAACAGAATATAATTGATTCTTGATTTTTGAAAAAATCCAGTTAAACAATCTTTGCCATTTAATTGGGGTCTTTAGTCTATTTTTATTTGATGTAATTATTGATAGGTCATATTTAGGTTGGATGTTTTGTTATTTATTTTCTATTTGTCTCAGCTGCCTTTTGTTCTTCTGTTCTTTCTCTTCTGCCTTCCTTTGCATTAATCAGGTACTTTTTAGTAATCAGTTTTAATTCCTCTATTGGCTTTCAAGCTATACCTGTATTTTTGAGTACCTTCTCTAGGGATTATAATATACATCTTTAAGCTATCTCAATGTATTTTAAGACGGACTTGCTTAAGATAAAATATAGGAAACTTGCAAATTTTCATTTACTTCCATCTTTAGTGCTGATATCCTATATATAGTACATCTATATACAGTGTTAAAATTTTTGCTTTAAACAGCTATGTATCTTGTAAAGCAATTATGAGGAAACTCTTTGTGTGTGTGTGTGTACTTCATTCCTTCCTTTGGACCCAAGTTGCCACCTGATACCATTTCCCTTCAGTCTGAAGAACTTTCTTTAATATTTCTTGTAGTGGAAATATCCTAGTGAAAAATTCTCTCAGTTTTTTCTCTCTGAAAATACCTTTATTTTGCCATAAGTTTTTGAAGGCTAGTTTGGCTGAATATAGAATTCATGGTTTACAGTTTTGTCTCTTTTCCAGCACTGTAAACATGACATTTCCAATGTTTTCTGTCTTCCATTATCTCTTATGAGAGGCCAGATGACAATGGTATCATTGTCCTCTCTGGATATAGGAGATCGTCTTTTCTCTGGCTGCTGTCACAACTTTCTCTTTATTTTTGGCATTCAGAAGTTTAACTGTGGTCTGCTTAGGAATGATTTGCTTAAAGTTTATACTGCTGGAGTTTCTTTGAGCATCTTAGTTACTGTTTTTCGCAAAATTTGTGATTTAGGTGGAGGGGTTCTTATTTCTTCATATATCTTTTTTTGCTCCTTTCTCTTCCTCCTTTTTCTAAGACTTCCATTATATTATGTTGGGCTTCTTGATTTTTGTCCCACAGACCTTTAAGACTTTGATCATTTTGTTTAATACTGTTTTTTTCCTCTCTTCTTTGGATTGGGTAATTTCTGTTCAAATTCCCAGATTCTTATCTTTTATTTCCAATCTGCTACTGTGTCTATTGAATGCGTTTTTTTCGGTCATTGTACTTTTCACCCCTCGAATTTCAGTATTCTTTGTAGTTTACATTTTGCTGTCGAGTTCTCATCTGTTCACTCAGTAAAACCATATTTTAATTTAATTCTTTGAAAACGTTATCTTTTAATACTTCTAACATATTTATAATAGACGTTTTTGTTTTTAGTTTTGGGGGAGAGGTAATTCGGTTTATTGAGTTATTTTTAACAGAGTTACTGGGGATTGAACCCAGGACCTTGTGCATGCTAAGCACACACACTACCTCTGAGCTATACCTTCCTGCTGCTTATAACAGACATTTTGCAGTCTTTGTCTAATACATTCAACATCTGAGCCCATCCAGAGTCAGTTAATATGGATTTCCTGTTCTTTGCATGTCTAGTAATTTTAGGTTGAATAGATATTGCAGATAAGATTTTGAAGCAATTCTGAATAAGTGTTGTGTTCTTCTGAGGATTGTTGAGTTTTTGTTCCTAGTAGGCAGTTAGCTTGCCTGGACTCAAACCACAAAATCTGTCTATGTGATTTGTAGCAGCTGATAATCTCTGCTCAGTTCATACACTTCCAACTGTTGCATTTTCCTTTTTGTCCAGCTGCTGCTTTTCTTTAACCTGGCCGCCTACTAATCTACCCAGCACCTGCATAGCTTCTTGATCCTCAGGAAAGCCCACAAACTTGTACTACTTATTTCTTCCAGTTGCAGCTTTTCAAGAGTAAACTCTCCTCCCACTTCTGTTTTTAGACATTTTCCAGTGTGTTTAAATAAGTACCCCCACCCCCAATTATTTAATTATCGTCTTCAGGAGGGTTTACTTGACCACTTCCCTCTGATATCATTAACATAAGTTGATAGCAAATAGTTTTAAAAACAGTTCTAAGTAAAATATAACTTCTTAATAAACTTTAGGGTGGCAGTAAAATGGTTAAGTACAATCTACTCATTCCTGAATTTTTGTGTAGTTGCCAGACAACTCCATGCCCTAAAAGCCATTGGGACTTTGTTAAATAATATTTTGCACTTTAATCTCGGTTTTGCATGGTATTGCTTCATTTCACTTGAGGCTATTATACCGATGTTCAGATACTATAGAGCAAAGCTGTCGTCTTGAAAGAGGCCAAGATCAAGTGGAAATGGGGATTGGAGCTATCAAAACAGGGCAAAAGAATATTTATCAACCTTTAACTGTAGTAAATCTTCCCTTTGGGTGTTTTCCATTGCAGAAACTTTGTCCTTGCGATCATTTACATCTGCATAATTATAACATCTTGTTTTACTTAACATGTGGGAAAGTGTTCTTAAATCTTAAACCTAACCACTTCCTCTGAGTGATTTGCATTCTCCTTTGGCCATACACGGAGAGCTGAGGGTTTGTTCTCAGCATGGAGTAGGAAACAAAGAGGGTCTGGATGGGGAAATTGGAAAGTTTCTAAGCTTCGTGTTTTTTAAAAAATATGTACAAGCACATTCTAAAGCCTTCCCTCCTTCTTTCCATCCTCCCTTTCTTCCTATGGCTAACTTGAATCATAGACGAATGTCAGCCTCAAAATCAACTTCTTGCATACATATACCACCCCACAAACAACAGTAAATATATTCAAGTACAATTCATTGAGAAGTAATATCAAAGAGGTACTATGAAGTTATTAGTGTTGGCATTTCACTTAATTGTAAAAGTGCCTTTATCCAAAAATAGATGTTGGGGGAGGGTATAGCTCATTGGTAGGGTGTGTGCCTGGCATGGATGTGGTCTTGGGTTCAATCCACAGTACATCTGTTAAAAAAAATACATAAATAAACCTAATAACCTCCCCCACCAGAAACAAAACAAAAACACAGATAATCCAGTTTCTTAAAAAAAAGAAAAACCTCACAAAAATAGATATTAATATGCTACTTCTAGTCTTCCTAGGTGGTTTAGATTGTTTCATAAACATGATAGATGACTTAACTTTTTTTTAATTAAGATTACATTATTATGCATCAGTGACATTTTAATGTGACATAGACTAAAAAAAAATCTGACTTCTCCTTGAGCAGACCCATACCGAACAGCTCTGCACATCTAGGGAGGGGCTTGTGCTAATTCATCTGGCCAATCACCTCTCTCTCTCTCTACTGTCCACTTCTGAATCCCTCCACCAACACCTAAGTCAAGACTGCATTGGTTTTTACAGTCTCTTCATTGTGTTTTGTTTTAAGATCACAGCCTCCTTTCTTTCTGGTAAAGGAAGAAAAGAAAGAGAAATATGGCTGATTAAAATATAGATACTTTACAAAATAATTTAAAATGTGAGAAGGCAAAGACTTAAATGAAGTTGTTAGTCTGGTAAAACTCCATTTGGACCCTGGTTATTAAAAAGTGGTCATTTGCATAGTCTGGACTTACTTCCTTTGCTGAGGACGTAGAGTAAGTAATATACTAGTAGACTGTCAGAGCTGGATGGAGCTCTAGAGATAATTTGTTTCATTTTATAAGGCAATTTGTTACTGTTGTTAAAACTCTAAATTATTAAGTGCTTCTGTGCTAGATACTGAGGTTTAGATATATTTTCTCTAATTTTTAATAATTCTGGAAAGGTATGTGTTCCTTCCTTTTTCAAGATGAGAAAACAGACTCAGGAGAAGAGACTTGGTAAAGGATGTGTTATAGTTACAGAGCTGGGGGATTTGGACCCAGAGCTGTTTGTTTTATATAGCCCATGTTCACTTAGGTCCCCTTAGCTTATTATACCTTTTAAGGATTTACAGACCTGATATCCTATAAGATCACTCGTATCTTTGGCACAAATTTGTGATCATTTGTACTTGATGTGTTTCTCTTTCTTGTTTTCCTTTTATTTTGGTCTTTACAGAATCAGAACAGGAAATTAGGACTTCCGATTCCTAAATCTTCTGTTGTGAAAGATAACATACTTTCAGAAAAGAAGATAAATACCTAGTAACTATTGTCCAGCTCAACAAATAGCCTACCTGTGTATGACTTGATTCCATTAACAAAAGCACCAAGCCTAGGCAAATATTCAATTTGCAATTACTGGGTCCAAATGATTATAATCCCCTTTCCTCCCCTGTCTTGGTTACCAATGTCTTGACTTCAACGGTCATTATTTCTTTGTGGTTTGATTACCTAGGCATACATTCAAAAATGAATTTCCGTGGATTAAAAGTCGCTTAAAATCATAGATACCAGGATAGAGATTGGTAGTGTTTAGGTCACAGGAGACTGGCTTATTTAAGAATCCAAACCTTGAAAAGTTCAATTAAACGCAAATAATTACTATGCTAATTACAATGAGTATTGGCCAATCCTTTGAGCTTTGATTCAAATTTGTTACCAGCTTACTCCAACTTCTCCCCATTCATCAGTCTGCGTGATCTCTTTTTTGCAACAATACTTTTCTAAATATATATTATGTCCTATGAGATAAAAAGAAACAGAATTACCATGTCATAACGTCCTTTTCCCCCCCTCTTTTACAGCATGGGTAAGTTCTTTGTCCATGGGGATGATTTTCTTTTGCTGCCCAATAGTCAGCGTCTTCACAGACATACTTGGTTGTCGGAAAACCGCTGTCATGGGTGCTGCTTTTGGATTTGTTGGACTCATGTCCAGTTCTTTTGTAAGGTAAGGACTCAGTTTCTTCATGTTGCTTTTCAAAAACTGTTAGATACTTCAGAGTCTTCCTTTCAGACACTTTGCTGTTTACAAGGAAAAATTCTCCTTTTCGTTGCTGAAACTTTAAGCAGTATCATTTATACATTGTTGTCCACAGCAGCAAATCAGAGCCTGTGAGGTTGAATGCTGTTGCTTCCAGTGTCTAAGAGTTAGGTGTCAGTGGGATACCTGTGTTCCCTGGAGCCAAGAAAAAATGTTTTCTCCCGCTCACATAAAAATCCTGAAGAACTCAAGTTATAACAGTGAGTTGTCTAAAGCAGTGGCCTTCGTTTAAGGTCAGCTCAGTCCGAGGCCCAAAGGGTAAAAGAAGTATTTTGGAAGCATTGTTCATAGGCTTGATATGAAATATTTTTATTAATGAGATAAAAGTTTTGCTGTTTATTTCAGCTCAGGTAGAGAATTCCTGTCTGCATTTTTTTTTAAAAAAACGTGATGAAATTTAAAAAGATCATGACAAAATGAAGTGGTCAAATGCAGCTTAAAATAAAACTTCCTATCAGTATACTTTCCCTGTGTCTATTAAAAGATTCAGTGCACTGCAGAGGAACTAAGTGTAAAGAGCTGATGGGCACATTGCTGTGGAAGCACCTCTCCCTCCTGCTCCAGCTGTGCCGGTAAATCCCCTTTCATTGTTAAAGTAATCCCCAGTTAGAGAAGCGCTGGTTTAATAGGTATCTCTGGCTAACAGGAGGTGATTAACAAGAAAACCCTTAGGATGACTTCCATCCTCGGTCTCTGTCTACTTTAGTGGTTTATCTTCATTTCCTGTCCCTTTCCCTTCCCTAGCTATCTTTATGCTCTAGTTGAAAACGTTATTGTGGTTATTAGAGAAAAAAAAATCACACTTACATTTCTTGTCCTCTAGATTTTTAAATACCCGGGATTTAATCATCAGAATCCTTGGTTTACTGATTTTATCTCTCACCCCCCGACGTCAACACTAAAGAGAGCCTCTTTCTTTCACCTAACTTAGAAATTTTATTTGTTTTCTAAACAATTTTTTTTATGAAAGTATAGTCAGTTGTAATGTGTCAGTATCTGGTGTACACCCTGTTTCAGTCGTACATATACATACATATATTCTAAACAA